CGTTAGAGAGTCACAGCGTATGCGTATGCACATCCATCCATTTCAGCCGCAGATCCACGACCTTGCAGAACGATGGACGATTCATATTGTTTCAACTTGGTATCGGAGCTTGTTCGCCGACGAATTCGCCTAATCCGAAGAAATAACTGGTTTCTGAGGGAGTGTGGGTGTGTGTGTGTGTTCCGACGAGAACAGACGAAAAGACTCAGTTTTCTCTGTACAACTGCGCACGATAATTGATGGGGATTCACGGGAGATGGGTGATACAGGCACAAGCGCCGGCAAACTGCATGAACCATCCTTCGTTCCACGGGTAAAAAAGACGTTGGAGTGTAACAGCTACGGCACAGTCACAGCATACATAGTCACGGTCGCATTCAGTCAGAGTGAGTGTGAGGGTAAGGGTGAGTGTGAGAGTGAGAGTGAGAAACTACCCTCCCTTGCCTTACCCCTCCCTCATTGTGTGTTGATGTCAGACAGCGGAGCCGCATTTGGGCGAACCAAAAAGATATAAGGCGACGACAGGGTATGCCATCCCCCACGCAATGGAAGACAGCGCGATTCAATGCAAAATGGCAATACTTGGCTCATGATGATCGAAGCATTCGCATCTGATACCACCCGGTTTCAAAAAGACTGAGACGAAGCTTGCTCATTCGACCTCGAGTACTGACCGGTCGAGTACAGATAACTGCAGATCAGCGATAATCATGTGAAGCCTCCTACTGTAGTGCATCGATGCTACTGTACCCTCGAGCGCCAATTGCTAGGATCTAGTGAGACGGCGCCTAAGGCTCTGCTCTGCTTTGCTTTGCGTTGAGGGTGCAGATGAAGTCTCGTCAACCTAAGTACTTCAATAGGTGCAGTTGGTTGACTTCTGTGCGTTTAGTGCATTGTCACGCGGCACGAGCCGGCCTCGGATTAGGTCGGGCCAGTTACACTGCATGCTTATAAGATAGTTTAATCGATGCAGGACATCCATGGATGCCATGCCATGCCCATCCAATTCCTGTAGATTTCAGTTGCCTCTGGGTGCTACGCTGACACGTATCCTTGTATGTATCACCTCGAGGCTGGGCCGGCATTAGAACGCCAGATCCTCAAATGCAGGCGGGGGCGGCCTCAGACATTTTAAGTACCACCACCCATTATGTTTGACAGGCCTCAAGTTTACGAGCTCAAGCGCTCAGTTCAGTTCAGTAATCTTAATCTTACAGGTAAGGTAGGGAGAGGCACACACCGTAAGTCGACTTACAGGCTACAGCTACCTAATGGAGCAACCCCCGCATTTATCCATTTGGGGGCATTAACTAGGACTACACTACTAATCACTTACACGGGGTTTGTACGTAGGTACTGTAATTTGAATTTACAATGCCTTTCTCTGTGCAACCAAATTCACACGTAATACTCGAACAACATGACTGATCTCGGGGATCGGGATCCCAACAACATCCTGACCTCAGCCTCTCCATCGACGTAATCTCCACCGCCCTTTACAAGCATTCTTAGGAATCAATCACATGCCTAACCGCTACTGCATCCGCATGGATACTCGGCGGGTATTGCAGCCTGTTCCGCGTAAATTAGCGGTTGCCTTTTTTCTCTTCTTCTCTGCCTCGTCAAAGAGTTCGGCCAAGTCATGAATCTGGCGATGATCAGGCAATTCGGAGACTTTTTACAATTTCGGCCTCCCACCTCGGAAGCAGACACGGACCTCGGGCATTACGTTGCGACTCGTGGAAAACACGAGGACTTCCGGGCTCCGAACACCTGAGGGATCAAGGCGACTACAGGATCAAGGTATCACAGCATGAGACTAGCAATGACTCTAGGATTGTTCTAGAACGATTCTAGAAGCTCTATAGAATGGCATGCCATTTCGTCCAACCAGGGATATAGATGGTCCATCTTCTGAACGCAACGGCCAACCCCGCTCAAATGATGTGCCCAACATGGCATTAAGTTTGTCTTTACGGGGTACGTAGGAGTGAACAACAATTATACCGATGTTATAGTTAAGCAGTAAATGCAGAAGTATCTTGACATATTGCAAAGCTGGCGCTATATTGGTTCTGGTATGTATGAGTTGGAGTGCTTTCGGTAGTTAGCATCGGGAAACTTGTCTCTGCCTTTCTTGTGTATAAATTTAGTCATGACTGGATACTCTTTGGTTTGTTTTATATCACGTCACGACCGAGAGCCTCTCTACATTTAGCTCATAACATTTCAGTAGGTGTGTCTTGTGTCATCCTAATATTCCAGTAATCCAGCTCCCGACAAAATGCTAAGATATCTTGACGCAGTAACTACAAGGCCCTGATGCTAACACGCTATCGTCCCAGACGAAGCAAATGCCTCTGCCCAGCTTGACCCTATAATTCTGTTACTATACCCTCTTCTCGGTCTAATGCTTGGCCTCTTCTTGAAACTATCTCTGTTGTTAAAAGATGAGATCTTCTTCTCAAAGGAGAGGCTTTCTTCGATCTCCATACAGAGGATATTTTACGACTGCATTTTGGGGCCGCCACGCGTGGAGATACTGTGCAAATCTCGGATTGGTCACAACAAGAATTACAGCTTTGTTCTGTTCATTTTTCGTTTAGTAGGCCGGTTCCGTATTCCGTAAAATAGATCTAAGAGCCATGTTTTCTTCAATTGAAGGTCATGGTCGAATTATGCGGTGCGCTTAATCTGGCCAATCAGAGAGGTTCGGCAGTTCCTGATCCACTGATTCTATTGACCTGATGGGCTGCTGCTGTCCCTCGCCGAAGTCCGAGCTCAATACTCTGACCTCGGTCTCTTGCCTTGATTTTGCCAATACCTTTACTTCAATTTTAGAAAAGACCCCGTGGAGCTGAAATTGACTAATGGCCGAAGAGCAGACTTTTTGGTACAGTACACTCTAAACACCCCACTTTGGAAATGCAATTCCCCAAGGTGGCGTTTTAACCTCGTTCTCCAGTTTCTTCACTCTTCAGCGTGGATTTGCCTAAGGTACCTAGATTACTGTAGCAAAGCTAGAACAATGACGCAGAGCTGATTACATTTTTATATATCAAGCCACGTATCACCTATGTAACTTCGTGTTGTTGATACCCCGTCAAAGCGAATAGCGTCAGGATGTGGAAGAATCGTGCCTCAACTGCCGGTACCACAGGTCTCTTCACAGCGTTACGACATTGCCGCGTTAAATCGTCCCACGTTACTTCATGCTCTCAAACTTTATAACATACCAACAAGCATGAACCTGATTTGTGGCCTCAAAAACTCACAGTCGATATCTGGCATTGTCTGTGTGCTATTGGCCCAAATTGGTCGACCCGAGACATGTGCTGTTAGGTCCCCCATATCCAACGCCTTTTAATATCAAATAAACTTGATAGTCTCTAGTCTTGATTAGACTCTTGATATACGTACTCACCATCCTTCATCCAACTGGCTAAATATATCCCGCAGTGATGCCCAATGCCATCCAAAACAAGCTACCAGCTCCTCTCAAACATTTCAGTGCATCTCAAACTGTGACTGGACACGCATTAGACAGCCCACCAACATGTGCATGACGCCGTCTGGCCTCCCATTTACCCGATTCGTCACACCTCAAAATCCTACACTATGCAAGCTACACACTAGCAACGTCAAAATCATGCCATGGCCACGTTTCCAGCCATTCCGCACCATCCGCGACAGTAAACTTTGAATTTGCAATCAAATTGACTGCGTCATGAAAATCAAACATACTCCGACTGCCGACACATATGATCCCAGTACATTTTTTCTGGGTACGTTATCCTGCCTGCAGATGGATGGCCTGAAATGTTGGCCAAGTGTCGCATTTTTTGGCCCCCAAATTGACCCGACAGTTCGGTACGCCTAATGCAAGTGTCCAAATGTGGGGGCGGGAAGCGCGGGAACTCCACTTCCCGCTCTTGTTGACGCTTTATGATGTGATGTTGATGCCATCAAAGCTATTGCCAGCCTTAGATTGTTTAACAATAGGTCAATTGACCAATTAACATGTATCATTCTACTAGGTTAGGTATCTATTCATAACTCCAATACTTTCATCTGCTTCTTTCTAATGATCCCCCAACACCCGAATAGTACACAAACTGCCACCCATTGTCGCTGCATATGTAAAGCGGCATCAAAGACAACAAAAGAGATACACAATATGTACACGCTTGATAGGTTCAACAAACAATCTGGGCAACCTAATCAGAGCGCTAAAACAGGAGTAACAAGTACATGCAACGAAGAAAATTAAAATAGCCATAAGGAATAGGAACAACACTCAAAAAGGACGGCAGGAAATGTCAGGGAACTAAACGAGCGGCTTTAGTCTGAAGCTCACTCGGGCAGAATCCCTAGAACGTATTAAGTAAGTCGATTGTCCAAAGAAATAGTGTTAGTGTCTTGATGGGCAATTTCTTGGGCGCAACCATATACCGGGTATCCACCCCTTTTAGATGAATACGGGGTCGGGGTAATGAGAGCAAACGTCGTGCTGACATTTGGAACACCGGAAAATACTGCTCCGGGGTCCGATCGCATGTCAAATAATCACAAAGTCCTCCGGATGTCCAAGATTTGACCAATAAACATGTTGAATTTGATATGGTGATAGAACGGATAGGATATACTGTTGAAAGATGATATACATCCGTGTAGGGGAAGGGTGGACAGGTCCAGGTCCAGGTCCAAGCTATTGTTCTGGCTGGTTCCATTGAAGTCCCACTTGGTATGGTATGAACCGAGACATCTATGTGGCGCTGGTAGGCCTGGCTCCTTGGAGTATGGTGGAAGATGGACCAATATCTATCCAGGGGCTCGATACTTGTCTCTGGCAGTCCAGAGTCGGAGTAAAGTACCTGGCATGGCATCTCTCAACTGTTCTAGCAGGACACTTCCACATCAACATTGTTGGTTTACCAATGGGCGTGCATGGAAGTGCCCTGCCAGATAAGCAGACATTGAGCTCCTATGGGCGTGTCCTGTTACTCGGCGTTGTCCTTTTGCCTGTTGTCCAGATTTATCTTGACGTTATACTTTTCTGGGACCTCGAATTGGCGAGTCTTTTCATTCCAGAGAAGCCAGTTACCTGAGGATGCAATCCTGTATCCAAGAGACAGGATGCGGCCCTTGCGCTCTTCTGATACAGACGGCAACTCAAAGTACTTCTCATCTTCGTCTATCTTGTCATTACTGAACCATCCGTTGGGGAAATAGTCCTCGGCGTAGACGAGGCCTCGCATGGCAAAGTCCTCGGGCAATGGGTGCGGGAGCTGGTCCTTTTCCGGCAGGCGGAAGTGGCTATGGATCTCATACCCAGGCTCGCAGGAAAGCAAGAGGGTGTTCAGCATAATGGAAGTTAGTTTCCAGGGATACGCGTCCTCCAAATGGGAAATAGCCGCTGGATACTGTGACATGTGATTCATGAAGACCAGGATGGAATGCACGAAAGGCAACGTATTGGTGTCTCCCCAGCGATAAAGAACTCGTGAAATCGTCCGGGTTGCAAAGTCAAGCGCAAGCTTGAATGTCTCGTCAGGGGTGGCCTCGGAAATTGTGTTCCCATCCATGGTGACGTCAGTCTCTTCGGGCTTCTTTGACATGGCCCGCATAAGAACATTGGACTCAGCGCCGTATCCAAGTAGAGAACAGGACTGAGAAATGGCAATGTGGTATCTGCTGGAGTTAGTTTAGTTCGAACGACTTTTCAACGCCAACTGACCCTGATTCCAGCCATCGCTTAGGCGACCGACCAATATGGCTATCCAGCTGATCAATGAAGCTCTCTATAGACTCTTCAAGCTGGTCCTGGGACTTCCCAGAAAAGAGAATGGCATGAGCACGCACATACGCAGCATCAACGGGGGCAAGACGGGCCGTATTGTTGTTCAACACAGGATCAAACAACGTCATTATACTTTCTCGTGCGCTTGAAAAAGGAATGGGAACACAGAGGGACTTGGTGTAGTAGTACAGCTGCTGCAGGGCATTGGGACGGGCCAAGATGGCCAAATGGTGATAAAGTCTACCCGTAGTAGGGGACTTATCAGATGCTTTGCTGTACCAGTGACGACTTACGCCAGTCCACACCTCACGGTCTCTGATATCGTCGTCCTCAATGGCCATGCGATATCTACCAAGGTCTCCAAGGCACTCAATCCACGTGTCTTCAAAAGCAGGCACAGTTTCGTATAGCAAGGCCATCATACTGTAAGCCAAGTACAAAAAGGTGAGCATGTGCTCTAGAGAGGCAGGAAGACGATGTCTGAGAAGCTCAAGAAACGAGTGAATGCCGTGTCGCCACATGCGAGCCGGCATAGCATACTTGGATGCTAACCTTCGCAGAGCAGGACTGGCAGAGGGGTGTTGGCTTGCAAGAAAGAAATCATGATGCTCATGGAGGAGTGTACGGTGAAGTGCAATCAAAGCCTGCCATTGTTCGTTGTTAAGTTTTGAATTGGCATCAGTGTTGGAAGATTGGGCATTGTCAACTTCGATGCACTTTGTCTCAACCATGACCAGTCCTGCGTAGATCCCTTTGACCTCTGCGACAAGCTGATCTTGTGAGATGGGTCTGGTCTCTGGCTGACGCATCATCTTGGAGGTGGAGTCATCATCATTGGATGAAGGACGGTTGACCTGTTGTGTGGCTGTCTGGGTAGGTCTGTTTGCCTTGGTAGGCCCTTGCCTGGGCGAACCAAGGGAGACAGCTCGCCCCGGACCCTGTGACTTTTGCTGAACACCATCATCGGAGGTCCAGAGCTGGCGGCCTGATGTGTTCTGGTGGGGCCGACCCCCGTAGTCGTTCCGGTGGTCATTACGGGCACGGCTACGGCCTGGGGCGCCCGGCTCAGGCGACCGACGCTTTGCCTGGTGGCCATCGGCATCTCGGTCTTGATCGACTGCAGTGCCCGTTGTGGTCTGGTCCCCTGCGGTCCCATTGGTGGTGTCTGCACGTCGTTTCCTGCTATTGGAGTCCTGACTATTGTGTCTATTGGATCTGCAAGAAGAAGATGAATGAGTATGTATATTGCTAGCAATGCAGGTACAGCGGTACCACTGAACCGAGCTGGGGAGTGAACTGACCCCTTGTGAACGTATGATAGCTGCGCTGCTTCCAGCGTCGGCCACTTTTCCTCATGCTCCTGATCGGATTTGGTATGTTCGAGCCAAGCTTCTAACGTCTTGATTTCGTCGCCGCAGATATCGCACGTAAAAGAGTGTGAGTCTGCCTTGTCCTGGCGATCGCGAGTCCTCAGATGTCGGACCCATTTGTCCGTAATGCCTGCCATGTTAGGCTATGACAAAGCATGGGAGACCGTGCCGAGCCCAACCGGCGCGCGCCTGTAAGTGAGGGAAAGAGGTAGAGCGAGAGCGAGAGAGAGAGAGAGGAACAGCTAGAGAAGATCGTGAGCAACTGTCAAATGAAGAGAATTCTGCAGTACAGAATTCGGTCAACCATAGTTATGCTGTGATTGTGACAGAGAAGGAGAGAAGGGAAAGCCAGAAATTAGATCCCTCAAGGGATACAGACGCATGTAAGAGACAGACAAGACAGGGCAATAGGAGGAAGGCGGGTACGAATGTGGCCCTGATGCTCGTTCAGGGCTGCCTGACGTATATCCACCAAGGTTCCAGGCTCGACGAGCATCGCCATTGGGAGGTTGGGGTTCCATGTTTGGCGACTTCGGCTGAGTGAGGGGGGGGCGTCATCCAAGCAGCCACAATTCTCATGGCTGGGCAGATGGTTCGCAAAAGAATAGCGGGAAACAGCGGTTGAGAGTATCAGATAAAAAGGCTGGGATCATTATCTTACCTGGTAAATTCAATCTGAGATGGTGGAAGCGTTCTTCCCTGGCAAACGAAATGCAAACAATATGCAATCCAAAATTTGTGATATCGATGATGGCCTAGGTAGAGGAGGGTGGGCTCAAGGCTGCCTGGTTCGCCTGTTTTGGTTGCCTTGTTGAGGCTCTGCGGCACCATTAGTATCGAATGCCCCTCATTAACAATCCTAGCTTGTCGCGTTCATTTTGGCAATAGTTAACATACCTCGCAGACCTTCAGAAAACACAGCCAAGTTGGTGCGTTTCCGTAACACAACAATGTATATATATGTATATCAATCTTGGAACTGCAAAACAGGCATAATTGGGTAAAGCGATTAGCTTCGTGGGAACGTGCCACTGGCCAGCGATAGTGGAAGAACCAGGCAACGACGAAAGTAGTATTATTAACTACTTTCGCCAAGGTTGTAGGAAGGTGATTAAATGAGTGGTGGTATAAATAATGGCCCCGGTAAATCGACACAATTGTGGCAGCTAAATCTTTGAATATTAAAACATATAAATTGAAGAAAAGCAACTCTGATATATAAATTCTGCCCATCACAGGTGCGCGAACCACAAACTCCAAGGGGCTACTCGACCAAACGACCAGGACCCGTCTCACGCCCGGATCATTGTGCCCTGAAATACATATAGGGAGGCACATTGCTAGCCCTGCCATCGGTGTTGGGGGGTTGAAAAACACACCTCTGAAGAATTCTTCAACGATGCCGCCACGGTTCGCCCATAAGATCGCGGACGTTTATAAGACCTATTTAGAAGCCACTGCTGACTAAGTCCTATTTACAGTTCCTACATCCAACTTCATATCGGGATGACTGGATGGCAGTTCTACAGAGTACGATACTCTTGAGCGTATTCCCTCGTCAGCTTGTGGCTCAGATGGAAGCCTGTTCCATGTCTGCGTTCACCAGAGCCTATGCTTCACAAGTCTCCCAGCTCAAACAATTCACGAGGCTTCACTGAGCCGGAAATCAAGGCTGAAGGACGAAAAATGTGATACTCACCAGACTCATCCGCACATGACTCACTCACGCCGTAGATCCTCTACCGTGAGGCGCGGTGAGAAGCTGCATCTGTCGTTTTCAGCTCTGCTGGGTCCAATATTGGATGTCACCAATCCAGACAGATTGGGCGAGTTTACCCCTTTTCCCAGTGACCAAAAACAAGGGATGAGCCAACCTCAGAGCTGAACCAGTGTTCTCGGAGCTCGTTGGTGCCAACGATGATATTGGATATCATCTATCAACAAATGCTCGGTTTGAGGAAAGCGGCACAAGCATCATGCTGGCATCCAAGTCCAGACAGAGAAGGCCAATGTTTAATGCATGGCCAATAAACCCTCAAGTGAGGGTCTCCCAGGCGGCCGACAGGCGCCTATTCGGCCTTCTTAAAATTCTGAGGAAAGGCGAGTTGGGAGTGAAAATATTTGCCTCCTTTAGGTAGATATGGGGATGAGTCGACTGGCCGGGGCGCAGGCAGAAGTGCTGTCGTGTGCTTTCACGATGCTCAGGCTCGAATGGTTGAAGTGAAAGCGAAAGGTATTGGGATTTTGCTCGATCGTTTTGAGGTGACAACAGGTCGGTTTTTAAATTCAGGCCTCCCATCTATGGGTGTGGTCTCGGTAGTTGTGTGTTGGCGGTTTGACGCGAATGCGTGGAATACATGCATTGGGCCTTGGAATCATTTTGACAGAACGCCACTTTGGACAACTGGCATCGTCAACAATTCGCCATCAACAACTCATCATCACAAATCATGATTATCAACCCAGCAGGTACAGGGTATGGTTAACATGGCTGGTTACCGATATGGCTGTTAAGTTGGCCAGCTTGATTAATACCGGGGCGTCGGGGCCCTGCTCCGTTATCCATATTAGGCGGTACGGAGGAAGCGGTTAAAAGTTTTATCTTAACCCCTAGCTTATAATAAGGGACCCTAGTAAAGTTAAAAAAAGTAAAAAAGGTAATATAATAATTCCTAACCTATAAACCTTTTATAACCCCTTTATAAGCTATTAACTAATTTTCTAAAGTTTCTAATAATTTAGTAAGTCCTTAAATTATAGCCTTAAATATAGATATTATAACTTAGGCTTTTATTATTTTCCTTAAGGCACTATATAGTAAAAAGTCTTTTCTTAAAGTAATAAAAATCTTAGGACTTTTAATTTATTAAGTTAATTAAATATATACTTATATAATTAAGAATAGGTTTAACCTTAATATAAGACTATTAATTCTTAAAGATAAATATCTTTAAGATAGGTTATAATTAAAGTAGCTAAAAAAGATAATAAAGGAAAATAAAAAGCTTATTATCTTTAAGGTATAGTATAATTACTATAAAAAAGAAAAAACCTATATTAATATTACTAATAAGCTTAGTAAGGTAAGAATAAAAATCTTTATATTAACATTTATTAAATACTTATTTCTTTAGAATTTTAAAAAATAAAGTTAATAAAAAAACTAAGCTTAATAAAGTTAATAAAAGCTAATTATCTTACTTAGTATATTACTTACTATAACTAGACCTTAGAAAACTAAAAGTTAGTAATTTAGTTAAATAAAATAGCTATAATTCTTTTATATTAGTAAGGAAGCTATTATATATAGTAAAGATTAAGTAAGTAATTTCTTTATAGCTATATTTAAAAGTAATAAAAA